AAATTATTTGTTATTTAGTTTGGGTTAAGGGAGACAACAATTTGGAGAGACAATCAAATGATAGAGTAGTGGTGTAGTCGAGGGCCTCATAGGAACAACACTTACCACTCCATTCTCTCGATTATAATACCTAACCTTACACTACAATACTTATTTAGCACTATTTTAAGACTCACCATTATACTGTATCAGTATAAGTCACATACATTTGGAGCTAACCATATAAATTTAGATATCATTTCAATCATATGTTGTCTAAAGCTATTTCCATAAATAATTCACAGAGTTATGAATGTTTAAGTATTAATTATAGGCATATTTTAAATTATTATAGTTACAACCTATTATCATTTGGTTTCAATACTTGTTTAGATCTAATGGTATTAATAGTTTTATTCAACATAGCCGTCAAATGCATATAAATATAATGAGTTTTCAAAACAAACAATAAGTGTAATAACTTTTAGAGCATTTGAATGTTCATGAGAGAGAAAATCGATTGAATCCATTGATTATTCTCTACTCTTCACTACTGTGTAACTCTATGTAAAGTTTGATTGAGATTTAGAGCTAAGTTTTCTAAGTCTTTTACATATTTCTATTAAAAATTTGTATCTTATTTGAAAACTACTAAAAATCAATGGTTTGTTACAGTTTATATGTTTAGTTTTAATATAATATATTAGAAATTCTTATATCATAAGTACTTGACTATCATTGTTTATTTTTTAATTAAATAAAAAAGACTACAATCAAATGTAAGTACTGTAATATTAATACAAGACACTTTCAGACAATTATAGTATTATGACATTATTAAAGAATTCTAACATTAGTTATTTGAGTAAAGCTTTTAAAAAGTAAATAAAATTGTGTTTCATTAAATGAGACTTTAATGTAATTTATTAATAGAATGGAAACAAAAGGTTTGCAAACATTTTCTTGTTACACGTTTAACTGATTTATTAGATAAATGAAACCAATAGCAGACACGCGAATGTATCGCCTTTTTTGTTACATTTTATTAAAATCTCATTTGAGAAAAGAAGTGTTTAAATAATGCATTCAATGCAATACCTGTATATCGTATTGAATACAAATGCAGGAATGCGTTCACTTTTCACACTCTGTTTGTATACACTATTTGTTTCTTTTCTAAAGAATTTCTCTTTTATTTTATTAGTCTATTGTTCGCCAAAATAATAATATTTAATATTTAAGTCATTTTGAATGAAATGCAAACTAAAATGAGATCAATTATTAAGTCTATCAAATGCTATGATTAGCTTTCAAACAAACATAATGTAGTCTATGAAAGCATTCATCTAACATATGAAGCAATATGTATCGAAAGTTTAGTATAGGAAGTGTGTTGTAGAAAATATGCTACAGCTATAGAAGTCATATGGGAAACATATATTCATAAATCATTGATCAAAAGATTCACAATTTTATTCACATAGAACTTAGTTATTTTCCTTGTCTAATACATTTAAAATTTTTATAAGTTTGAAAACAGTTTATACTCTTTCTATATAAAATATAAAATATACTTTAAATTACACTATATAGTATATACAGTAAAAATACAATGCATTAGAAAACACATCCATTATAAGACTCTATTACTCGACTCTAAGCTATAGATTAATTTTTAATATACTGTGGAATTTTAATATTCAAACAGAACTGCATTAAAGTTTGTAAAGGATTTATGCTTAAATTGTGAGTAAAAAATTCTAAACTATTTCAATCACATCCATAATACTATAAATGGAAACCCACTTCTATAAACTTATACCCCTTACATATAATTTACCCGTAAGTTAAAGCTATATATTACAAATACAGTATACTCACAAACATTTAATATATTTCTTTATATAATTCTCGTATAATAAGAAAAAAGCATTCTTGAATTTAGAGTAAATGAATGCAAATTATTTAATCAATATTTTATAAAAGATTTATAAGAATAGAGTATTATGTAAACTAAAGTTATTTAAATAATAAATTGAAAAGTGTTTGAAATGAAATTCCAAGCAATAAGAGTTTGTAAGAGTAAACAAAAGGATTAAACAGAATTTGATGCATACCTGACATCACAATAAGTGTTACGAGAATAACGTTGCGATTCATTGTGCGAACAGTTAATTATGAAAACTATTTCTTAACTCTTATAATAAATAAGAAAATCGCTTTGACTTGTCGTAAATGTAAACATTTGGCTCAAAATATTGATAATAATTTGTTATCATTTTAGAGTGAATTTATAAAAAATGTATTAAAATGATTGATAAAACTATGATATAATGTGGTAATAGTGTTGTAGAATATATCTTGAGTGAAACTCTTGTACAGAACTATATGTTACTGTATAGACTACACACTATAGCCACTATAGCCACTATAGTGACTGCACTTATCATAGAGTTATAGAGCAAAACTACAGAATAACTACTGTTAACAGAGTGTGTCTCACTTCTGGATACATAGCACCAGAATACAGACCTACCGTTGCCTACAGTTGCCTAAGTTGCCTGAGTTCACAGTTTTGTAATGTATAATATAGCGTATGTTGTATAATATGTTCAATGTTGTATGTTTTGCTCTGTGAAGCAAACCAAACCAAACTATCTTCACATGACGTCACCTCCCGTGCAATCGCAGCCACTATTTGTCTATTTGTGTCAACTTTTGCCAATTCTCTCATCCCTTACTTTCTTTGAGAACCACTTTTGCAAATTGAGTTCTCTATTGATCTGTCATTTCTTATTCAATTACTTTTCATTTGATTCAATGCGATAATCATTAATACAAATAGCAATCTATTACACTATTATTACACATTACTAACACATCCATCCCTACAGACAATAATAACTCATTTAAAATGCAGTTTATTTGCCATTCCTTTTGTTAGATAAAGAAAGATAATCTATATAAATATATAACAAACTTTACTTTAAATCTACAAAAAAACAAAAACAATAACTTCTGTTCAGTTGTGCTTTCGATTATTGCGAGACTTGACTTTCATTTATACGATAAACGATAGTTCAAACATATGCTAAATAAAGACAACATTTTCAAACCTGATCACATTTTAATATTGTAAGATTCGTTGTATGACTCTTACAATTATATAATACCACCATTTCATAGTAATTGGTTCATTGTAACACTTTCACCATTAATTTTCAAAACAGCTAAATCTGAAATAAATTCACATTTTCCAGATGTTATGAATTGTGATTTTAAACTACAAAATCAATAGGCTATTGACAATAGCAATCCTCATCCCATGTCATCCCAAATTCAATTCCTTACCATTACATACACATCAACCAAATTTCATATCATTTAAATAATTTAGTGATTTGTATGAATTACTTTGTATTCAAATTGTGGTTCATATAATTATAGTCATAAGTCATTAATCTTTATCATGAAATGAAAAAAGCATAAAATACATTGAAAGGCACTAAATTGCTTTCAATGCTGCTTTTTATTCAACAAAATATCATAAGCTATTTTACATTTGATGCCATCAACAGTAAATTTTGTTATTGTTTAAAAATATTTACTTTCAATAATAGCTAATAGTTTATTGAATTAAATTAAGAATATATTAGTTATTTAAATTAAAATTATAAAATGATGGACTGAACTAAACTCTTTGAATACGTGAACATTTCATATAAAGATTAATACAAATTCTGTTTATTCATAGAAACGAAATTCTTACAAATATAAGTGCTGCTAAATAACATAGTAGTCATGACAACGTATTTATCAGTTTAAGTTATACAATATTAACTAGTAAATCACTTTTCACATAAAAACACTAAATTATAGTGATTTTAATGAAGTTATAAACCAAACCATGTTATGAATTAATGTACTCCTCTTGTCATATAATTGGTATCAATTATATTGTAAAGCAAACGATTCTATATTTGCATATATTCTATAACTTATCATACAAACCATCAACTGTTAGATCCTGACACAACTTGTCACGACATCTATGCAGGGTATAGATTATGAGCCAGCGCATTCTAAATTGCATAAGCAATCATTCAATTCTCAATATATTTAAGATCATCATGTATCAATTATAATGTAACAGTATCATTTAAAGTATAATGTAACTTATGATACAGTATAATGTATTACAGGTTATGAATAAAACTTTGAAATGGATAATAAAATGTCATTTTTAGTAATACAGTATTAGATCATTCCTAAATTTTACGGGTAATATTGTATTATTAATGACAAATACTGTACAGGGTAATATGAAGTATTAATTTATTTGATTAAAAGCAATATTTGGTACATTATTAATATTAATACATATAAATAGTGTATAAATATAATGATTTGTGAAAAGCACGACACCATTGATAGGCTATAATATTGTAGTCATTATTGGCAATCAATGCAATCAATTAAGAGTCTCTCCTTTGGTTACCTAAAAACACAACAAATGAGTCAATCATTGCAATCATCGCCACAATTATCTCAATCCATATCTACCTTCGCCTCCAAGTATTCAATCCTTCGCTCCAAAGACGTTAGCTTTTCGTTCAGTGACGCCAGTCTTCCTCTGCAAGACATGTCTGCAAACCACACAACCCATCAAATTGTGGACCAATTCATAGTCAATACATACCAAACGAGTTCAAGAAGTCAGCGATCTTTTTGATGCTTCCGGTGATGATCTCAATGTACTCGCGGTTAGCCCAGTCCTGTTGGATCTGCTTCTGGATGCCTTCCTTTTCCAGAGTCGCCATCACTTACACCACACACTAATGGATCCAATGATTCACTGATTTATTACTTGTAATTGTCTTTACACTGGATTTACACTTAATATGAATATGAGTTGGAAATACAAATTGCAATCAATTGTTGACAACAAACAAACCATTCATATATAGCGTTACAAACATCTATAATACGTAACGTTATTGATGTGCACTAAACAGAGCACTGTTTGAACTGTGAATGGAAACACGTGTTTGTGTTAGAAGTGGTCAATGTTTATACCATTTGTTTGCTGTAATTATCACTACAAGTAGTGCAAAGTGAAGACATGGAAGGTATGGATGAGTTGGTCACATGACTTACGGCTAAATGTGTTTACCCTTCAGATAAGACATCGAAGAAGAAGCACAAATCGCCCCAAACGCTAGGCGTAAGTGTTGAGCACATCCTAAACACATCCCAAATGATTGAATACATTGACCATTGATTGCATTGTTCAGGAGATTCAACGCCAACAGGACTTCTTCCTGAAGCCGTCGTCAGCCGAGCCGAGTCTGAACGCCGAGCAGTGGCCACTCCTTCTCAAGGTATGTGACTGTGAGGGCTGTGGTGTCTGGTGTCTGACGGTGTGATTGTGACAGAACTACG